CAGGTATGCAATGTAATTGGCTCAGTGGTCTCTCAGGCAAGTGGGGGTTATGTCTCACTCCACTTCGGCAAACCCAATAGTCACAGGATTGGAGTTCATGGCACTTTTCCAAGACTTGGGTGGAAATAAGATTGCAGTTGGAATTATTCTCTTTCGTGTGTAATGGAACTCCTCACCCTCTTTCCCCTACAGCATACAGAGCCACCATTCCAGAACGTTGGGTGTCAATTTCTGGCCACGTTATGACTCAGAGTCCCTTGATTGATAAGCTGGAAGAACTGAGAACTCGGGTTCTTTTAAAAGAGGAGAGTTTCTAAATGGCATTTTCTTTGGTTCCTCTTTTGGGGTGACAATATGTTATTCCAGTGAAGGGTAGAAAAGAATGCTTTTTCTCTGATTTGATCCAATGGCAGCCTTTCCACAGCTCCCCACTGTGCAATGTGGGCTAAACTAGGTGAACTCATAGCAGAGGCCACTGGCTGTCTTCACCTCTGCTCTCATGTCTCCTTGTATTGAAAGGTCCTAAAAGGCTTGTGAATGCTGACGGTAAGAATTGTATCTACCAAACAGTTTTTATCAGCAACAGAAGTAGCAAGATCAGATTGGCAGCAAGGAAATCGTCATCATCAGAAAGAGAAGCTACCAGGAAGAAAATCTAATTTGGCTATTTAATCAATGTCTAGAGCAGAGATGAAATGTGTAAAACTACTAATTTGACATTTTACAACTGTTATAATTTTGATGAGTCCTAATGATCAGTCTCCTAACTATCTGTAGATATACGTTGTTACTGAATCCTGTTTAAATCGTTCTGTTAATTCACACTGCAATTTAACATTGTTTTCTGTATTAGAATAAACAAGCTATTTCCTACTTTGTTCATATTATGTAGTAGGTATTTCTCTTGAGAAGCCCCTTAGACCATGGGATCTTAACCTTTTTTATGTATTGGGTAGTTTGAAGTCTGTGGACTCTTCAAAATTGTGTTTTTAAATGCATAAAATAAAATACAAAGGAAATCAATTATATTGAAATACAGCTATCAATTTAAAAAAAAGTTGCAACCTCAAGTTAAAAACCACTGTCTTAAGTAGAAATTTTCCCTGGGAGTGCCAGAGTGGGGGCCAATGACTATGAGAATAGAGAGTCCAATCCCCTGAGGAGATATGTAGCTTCCCCAAAACTGAACCTAGACAAACCATGGTGGTTGGGTAAAGGACAGAGAGTGGTGTAAAGTTGCCAGCCCTGTGAGCTTAACCCAGTGGCCTTAGCCCAACAGTGCTTCTTTGTGCTATTTGAAATATATAAAAATATAGGACCACATGTAATAGGGCTGAGGAAAGAATTGATGAAATTCAGGAAGTTACTAGTTCAGAGATGGGATTGGTGCCACTTCCTGGGCAAAAAAGCAAAATTATAAATTCTCTCTTGACTTACATGAATCCTAATGTTTTCTTTACAGAACAATTCAAATAAACATTAGAAGATATTAGTTTTCCTTGGAGGTATTAGTGTTATTAAATTAAAATTATCTGTTTTCATGTTCATTAGCTGCTCTTTAAAAAAGCAGCACCTTGCTTACAAAACTTAATATCCCATGATAGACATGGTAGACAAACATTATGTTGTAAATGGATTAACACAGAATCTGAGAACAATCAGCAAGAGTTGTTTCCTGCCCTAAATGATTCAGACTCAAAATATATCAAATGGAGCTCATGATCTTTCTCCATAAACTCACTTTTATTCTCCTAACTCCCTTTTTCTGTGGAGGGCAACAGCATCTTTCCAATCACCAAGGTTCCCAACCTCAAAGTCAATCTCAATTCTTCCACCTTTGTCAACCTCTATTATCTAATCAATTGCCATTTCTACCACCACATCATTTGCATCCATTTCTTCTCTCCATTTACAAACCAGCCGGGTTTTTATAACCTTGGTCTGAACTATTATTATAGTCTCCTTCCAGTCTCTGCTCTCTCCCTTCTCCCATCCATCCTCTACACAGGATCCAAATTGATCTCACTAAAGCACAGATTTAATTATGTTACTCTCCTCTTCAAGAAGCTTCAATGGCTCCCTATTGACTGTAGGATAAAATACAAACCCCTTAACTTGGCATTTAAAGCCCTGTATAGTGTAGCTCAGGCCTAGATTTCCAAGCTGATTACATGTTAGTCCCTTCTCACACATTAGTCCCCCATACTCACCCTATATTCTAGTCAGACCGACTCTACTTACTATGTCCTTTTCTCTTCTTACTACCTTCTACATAAGAACCTTCACGATCCCCCCAATTGTTAGTGCTCTTTACCACTATTACTTTGCATATGCTTTGTATTTAAGTTGTGTACATGTTGGCTCCATTGGGATGTATGTTTCTTGAGGACAGAGACTATTTCTTTTTATCTTTTTACTCCCCAGCCTAGCATAGTGCTTTGCATATAGCAGGTGCTTAACAAATATTAAGTGAGTTGACTTGGATATTTATAATGAGGTGTCAGGTCTTATCTTTCAACTGTATTCAAGCAAACACAAGGATTGTACATATTAGGGGCATTTCTGATTTAGAATCATAAAATGACAGAGCAAGAAGGGACTTTTGAGAGCATCTTCCAACCCCTCATTTTACACATGAGGAAAATGAGGCATCAGTTCAGTCAGTTGTTTTCAGTCATGTCTAACTCTTCATGACCCCATTTGGAGTTTTCTTGTCAAAAATATTAGCATGGTTTGCCATTTCCTTCTCCAACTCATTTTACAGATGAGGAACAAACAGAATTATATGACTTGCCTGGGATCATAGAGCTCGTAAGTGTCTGAGGCCATATTTAAACTCGGGAAGATGAGTCTTTCTTACTCTAGGTCCAGTGCTCTATCCACTGTATCACCTAGCTACCCTAGATATAAGGAGGTTAAAATACCCAGAGGCAGAACCATGATTGAACCTAGATCTCAGCTTTACAGTACAGGAGAATACAACACAGTATTCTATTGTATTCTCATTCTCAATAGAAAAACCAGTTTCTATGGAATGAAGGATGGTTACTCCACATGCCTATGATCATTCTCACTTCCAATACTGAAGAAACTTGTGATCCATAGAGGGCAAACTATACATAGGCTCATTCATTCATAAAATGTTAATTAAGAGAAAAGCACCAAATCTTCCAAAAGCATTAAGAGGAAAAGTTGGAACATTATGGTCCTCAGGTGAGGGCACGCAGTGTGGTGGAATGGAGTACAGGCTTACAGTCAGGGAATACTTGGGTTCAAATCCCATTCCCACCACTTGTTAGCCATGTGACTCTTAGCAACTTGACACTTAAATGTCCTAAGCTTCTATTTCCTTATTTGTAAAATAAGGGTAATAATACCTATATTACGTATCTCACAAAGTTGTTGTGATAAGTGAGATATATATATATATATCAAGCCCTTTGCAAATCTATTTAAATGGTTATTATTATTGTTGTAATTATTGATTAGGCACTGGTATAGAGAAAGAATACTAAACTAAGAATTGGAAGAACTAAATTCTAACCTCACTCTGCCACTCATTAACTTGTATGACCTTGAACAGCTCATTTCATCTCTCTGGGCCTTAGTTTTTTTCATGTGTAGAATGGTGGGGGTGGGATGGCAGGAGGGAACTGGATCATCTTGAAAGTTTCCTCTTGCTCCAATATTCTTTGATTCGGAGAGTATTTCTGTCTTGTGGGATACCATTACCAACTGCTGATTCTCCTGGTCTACCTCCTAGCTAGCAAAAAGGAAATTCATGTCTATTTTAGTAAGGTGCTGGAAATAGCCGTTCATGTTATCCAACAGATTGTATATACTCAGTCACATTTCCTAGAACTAGAACAATACTCTTCCCTTAACATCAATGCGTATCCTTCAGACCTGGCCATGAGACATTGACCTCAGCAGAACTGTATAAAAACAGTTTGTAGACTTTGGCAACTGTCAGACTTTAACCTCGCAATGCCCCTGGTTATCTTATCACTATTTGAATTTTTATTGATAACTCTAACCTAGGTTCTTCTGTAAACATCAGCAGTTGTACCAATTATTTGATTCTGGTGACACTGCTTTTCTTTTCCTTCCAAATCTTTGGTATCTTGTCTTTAGTTCTTTTATAATGGGTTTACAGATTGGCTGTAAAAATTAATTAGCCATAGTAAAATTAATAGTCCAAGATTTCCATTTCCTCAGACATTTATTGAATACCTACAGTGTATGGAGAACACTGTGCTGGGCACTGAGGGAGCGTTTAAAGTGCTATGTACTAAAGGATAAGCAAAAGTAAGAAGGAATATGCGTTGTTTATACTTATATAATATCTCTTAATGCCTGATTCCTTTCTATAGTACTCCCCCATAAGCTATTTGTAGGTTTAAGAACCTTTTTCCTTTCCTACCCCTTTTCAGAGTCATTTCCTTCACCATTATAACCTTACACAGGAGGAATGCCTAGGCTGGTGAAACAAACACACACTTATCCCATTCATATCTGTGGATTTCCTTTGGGCTTCTGCTAGTGAATAGCATAGTATGATAAAGACCCAGGAATTCAACAACTCTGGCTGCCATCCAGCTCCTACTTAGACACCCTAACTGAAGACCATAGCAGTATAGTTGATAGAGAACTGGATTTGGAGCCAGGAAAGCCTGAGTTTGGGATACTTACTTGCTGTGTGACCTAGGTAAAGTCACTTACCTTCTCAGATCCCCAGTTTCCTCATATGTAAAATAGGGACAGTAATAGCACCCACACCTCATAGGATTGTGGTGAGCATCAAATGAGATAATGTACATAAAACACTTGCAAGCTTTAAAGTACTATATAAAATATAAGCATTAGCTATTGTTACCTTAGTTTTGGACTCCCAGAGGCAACAGCTCTCTGCTTCCTAAATTAAGACGCCTCAGTCTGTTAAAAAACACTAAACTACCAAGTCCTCCCTCAGAAATACACTTACCCTACTCTTTACCTACCTTGGGGGGATAAGAAGTTTGGATCTAACTTGAGGTATCTCCAAATTCTGCCTTAAATAGTGTAACAATTGCAGGTCATTTGCCTTTTGGGGTTTCGTCAGAGCTTCAATCTTCTCCTCAATCACTTTACTATGAAGTTCCTTTTGGGAAAACAATAATAGCTAAATACTTAGTTACTTCTCTAAACCCAGTTCCTAACTGCTCATTGCCTTGTACTCAAGGATTGCCAACAAACTCCTATTAATTCCTGCACAGGCTAAAAGAGGTGGGCTATTATTTATTTCCTAATTCAGAAGGAAGAAATGAACCAGAGAGATGTGATTTATTCAAAATTATTCAATGACTACACAATGAAGCCAGAAACAGAATCCTTTTGATTCTCCAATCTAACATTCTATCATTAAATTGCTTAATCTCCCGTAAGGAAATACTTATCTCTTTATTATCTGGAGATTAGCAGCACAATCAGCAGATATTTTATTGATGAATCCATTACCACTTACCAGGTTGCCTACTAGGGTCTGGAAGAAGGAATCATAGCATCATAGATTTAGAGTTTAAAGATACTTGAGAGTTAACCTCAAACTCCCTCAATTTATAGACAAAGAAACTTAAGGGCCCAGGAAGTTAAGTGTCTTGCCCTATGTCACACAAGTAAGTAAGGGCAGAACAAGGATTTGAACCCATGTCTTTTGATGTCAAATCCATTGTTTTTTCCACATCCATCTGCTCCTAGGAAGAGAAGGACGTGGGGAAAAAGAAAGGACCTCAGAATAGACACTTGGTAGAGTTCTTACAGAGAGAAACAGGATGGGGGCATTGGGGCTGGGAAGTGTGTCAAAAAGATAAGAGTTCTCTAAAGGTAAGATTTGCCTGCTTTACAGTTTTATATAGGGCCAATCTTAGACTCTAGAATTCTTTTTGGAGGTTACTTTGCCCTTTGGTGCAGTGGGCAATTTTGCTTCTTTCTAGGTAAGTCAGGGATCAAGATCTGTTGCTACTGGTCAAAGTTGGTTTTGTTTTCATTGAATGTGAGGTTCATCAGCAAATAATTTGAAGACGCCCTGATAACTTTAAATTTGTACCCCACGTCCAAAGTCAGGAGAGTTGGTACCTGAACATCATCGGTTTCAACTTGAAAAATGACCTGTTCCTTGTCCCTCTGAAGCCTTTCCTAGTGAAAGAAAGAGTCTCTTGGTGAAAAGTCAAATTGAAGATAAAGATCAGTCTTCTCTATAAGCTATGAAATTCCCACTGTATTCCCACAGTACCAAGTGCCAGTATGGATACACCATGCCCTTGTGGCTGTTGAATGTTTTTTTTTGGGGGGGGTAAATCAATAATAATAATGTAGTAGAATAATGTCAAATGTCAAAATTAAACGAATGAAATTTGTTTTCTTTGAATTAGGAGATTATAGGCAGATTCTAATCATGTGGTACATCCAAGGCGATTCTAATAACCTTTCAGTACCTCAAACAACCATACACCACTGTCCACTGACACATTATGGAGTCATAATGATTGGGAGAGACCCTAACACTTCACCCTAGATCAGGCATCCCAGAAGCTTATGGAGTCACTGAAGTGCAATATACAAGAAGGAACAAGATCTGCAGGAAAAACTCACATCCATTTGGGAGCTCACCTTAACCTCTACTTTCTGTGTTTTATTTTGTCTTATTGAAGCAGTCAGGTTCTTGAAGTTATTTTCTGACAGCCAAGCTGCTAACACTAAGAAAGGTCTCACTACTTTCTTACCTCCTTTACTTTCTCTGCATATGATGTGTCCCTTCAGTTCTTCCTAGGTGGTGAGGGGATTAGGGAGGCTGGGATGAAAGAATAGAGCTAAAGGGAGAGGAGAACCCAGGAAAAGGGTGTAGTCAGTGGCATAGGCACTGTCTATCCATAGGCATAGGTGAGATAATAAATCTGATAACCAACAAGGTAGCCAAACATTACCTATCTGCCTACCCAAGGTGATCCTGTCTCTCAGCTTCATGCTTCTAGGTGTGTTGTATTAAAAGGCTTGAGAATTCTGATCAGCCTATAGTACACTTGCCTTTAACGCTTGCATTTCTGCCTTGCCTTTGAGCAGCATTGCTTTCTGTCGCATACGATACTCATCTTCGATTGCTTGCTGATGGAATTAAAAAACAAACAAACAAACAACTTTATATTGGTGATTTGGAGGTGTGGAAAGATGGGTTTAGGGTTTCAGTTTTTCTGCTGTAACACACTTTCTCTCTGCCCATCATCCTCTCAAGGATAACCCAGAATGAAAAAGTTTCTTCCATCTTTGCCTCTCTTTCCTAGGAAGAAATGAGGAAGTGGAATAATCAAAAGCTAGGGAATATGAACCAGCTTCTTCTTTTGAAAATCATTGGAAAATTCTGGATGAGCTAGCGCATTAGAGGAAATGTCGTCACATCTCTGAGTGCTTTCCCTCTAAGGACCTCAGGAGCCAAATTCTATTAACAATTAATGGAGCTTAGTGTGTCCATATCTGTGACCTGGTCTTAATGGCATCCAATTTTTTTGTGGAAACATGGAGTGAAGAGTATTAAAAAATCAAAATCAACAAAGGCATAGGCCATTTCTGGCCCTGATTATTATATAAAGCCCATGAAAACTTCCTTTTTCCAGGGACATTAGTATTCCTTTTTGCATCACCAATGCCTGGCACAGAGTTGGGACTAAATAAGGAAGGAAATAAGCATTTATTAAGCAACTACTATGTGGTAGGCATCTTGAAGTACTTTACATGTATTATCTCATTTGAGACAATAACTTTATGAGGTAGGTACCGTTATTGTCCCTATTTTATTTTATTTTTTTATTTCTTTTTTAAAATTAATTTGTTTTTAGTTTTCAACATTCACTTCCATAAGATTTTGAGTTCCAAATTTTCTCCCCATCTCTCTCCTCTCCCCACCCCAAGACAATGTGCATTATGAATACCCCTTCCTCTAATCTGTCCTCCCTTCTATCACCCCCCCTCCCTTCTCTTCTCCTATTTTCCTGTAGGGCAGGATAGATTTCTATTCCCCATTGCCTGTATCTTATTTTCTATTTGCATGTAAAAATAATTTTGAACATTTTTTTAAAAACTTTGGGTTCCAAATTCTCTCCCTTCCTCTCTCCCCACCCACCTTCGTTGAGAAGGCAAGCAACGCAATATAGGTTATACATGTGTAGTCATGCAAAACATTTCCATAATGGTCATGTTGTGAGAAAACTAACTATATTTCCCTTCATCCTATTCTGCCCCCTATTTATTCTGTTCTCTCCTTTGACCCTGTCCCTCCTCAAAAGTGTTTACTTCTGATTACCCCTTTCCCCAACTTGCCCTCCCTTCTATCATCCCCCCTCTTATCCCCTTCCCCCCCCTATTTTCTTGTAGAGTAAGATAGATTTCCATACTCAATTGAATGTGTGTGTTATTCCCTCCTTAAGCCAAATCCAATGAGAGTAAGATTCACTCATTCCCTCTCACCTCCCCCCACTTCCCCTTCACTGTAAAAGCTTTTTCCTTATTTGTTTTGTGAGATAATTTACCCCATTCTACCTCTTCCTTTCTTATTCTCCCAGTACAGTCCTCTCTCATCCCTTAATTTTCTTTTTTAGATGTCATCTTTTCATGTTCAACTCTCTCTGTGCCCTCTATCTCTATCTATTCCCTGCTACTACCCGAATAATAAGAAAGATTTCATGAGTTACAAATATCATCTTTCCATGTAGGAATGTAAACAGTTCAACTTTAATAAGTCCCGTATGATTTATCTTTCCTGTTTACCTTTTCATGCTTTTCTTGAGTCAATATTTGAAAGTCAATTTTTCTGTTTAACTCTGGCTTCTCAAGAATGCACTAAGTTCCTCTATGTCATTGAATGTCAATTGTTTCCCCTCATTGATTATACTCAGTTTTGCTGGGTAGGTGATTCTTGGTTTTAATTCTAGTTCCTTTGACCTCCAGAACATCATATTCCAAGCCCCAATCCCTTAATATAGAAACTGCTAAATCTTGTGTTATCCTGATTGCGTTTCCACAATACTTGAATTGTTTCTTTCTGGCTGCTTGCAATATTTTGTCCTTGACCTGGGAATTCTGGAATTTGGCTATAATAGTCCTGGGAGTTTTCCTTTTGGGATCCTTTTCAGGAGGTGACTAGTAGATTCTTTCAGTTTCTATTTTATCCTCTGGTTCAAGAATATCAGGGCACTTCTCCTTAGGGATTTCTTGAAAGATGATGTCCAGGCTCTTTTTTGATCATGGCTTTCAGGTAGTCCAATAATTTTTAAGTTATGTCTCCTGGATCTATTTTCCAGGTCAGTTGTTTTTCCAGTGAGATATTTCACATCGTCTTCTATTTTTTCATTCTTTTGGTTTTGTTTTATAACTTCTTGATTTTTCATGGAGTCATTAGCTTCCATTTGCTCCATTCTAATTTTTAAGGAATTACTTTCCTCAGTGAACTTTGGACTTCCTTTTCCATTTGACCAGTTCTGCTTTTAAAGGCATTCTTCTCCTCGTTGGCTTTTTGGACCTCTTTTGCCATTTGGGTTAGTCTATTTTTTAAGGTATTATTTTCTTCATTTTGGGGGGGGTCTCCTTTAGCAAGTTGTTGACTTATTTTTCATGATTTTCTTGCATCATTCTCATTTCTCTTCCCAGTTTTTCCTCTACTTCTCTTACTTGCTTCTCAAAATCCTTCTTGAGCTTTTCCATGGCCTGGAACTGATTCATATTTTTCTTGGAGGCTTTGGATGTAGGAGCTTTGACTTTGTGGTCTTCTTCTGGTTGTATATTTTGATCTTCTTTGTCACCAAAGTAAGATTCTATGGTCTGAGGGGTTTTTCTTTGTGTATGTGTTCTGTTTGCTCTTGTTCCCAGCCAGTTACTTGACTTTGAAACTCTTTGTTAAGGTAGGGGTCTGCTTTCCAGTGTGGAGGGTGTACTGTCCCAAGCTTCAGGGGTTTTGTGCAGCTGTTTTCAGAGGTACTGGTTTTGCTGAGGCCTGGTCTTTGCCTGTGCAGCCTACACTGAACTGAGCTCTTCTCCCAGCCTGTAGCAACAGATCTTTCCCATCAACCATCCAGGTTGGGCTGGAACTTTGTTTCACTCTATCTTTTTGTAGGTTCTGCTGCTCTAGAATTTGTTTAGAGCCACTTTTACAGGTATTTGGAGGAGTTTGTGGGAGAGCTCAAGCAAATCACTGCTTTTACTCCACCATCTTGGCTCTGCCCCTCTATTGTCTGTATTTTATATTTGAGGAAACTGAGACAGATGGAAGTTAAGTGACTTGCCTAGGATCACACAGCTAGTAAGTGTCTAAGGCCACATTTGAACTCAGGTTTTCCTAACTGCAAGGTCTAGCGCTTTCTCCACTGTGCCACCTAGCTGCCAATGCGTATTGATTACTGAACACTAGATATTATCTAAAACCTAACTTTACTGTCTCAAATGTCTCAGGGATGAAAATAGTCTCTTTAATGGTGGTGATAGGGGTAGAGTTTTCCATGATTTCAGGGGGGCCTAGAATTTTTTACTCTGGCTTTCTTACCTTGTTCGACAGCAACTCCATTTCTCTTTGGAGTAACTTGTTTTTTTTTTCCTGTAGAGAAAGATGAGATTTTTATTCTGCTACATATATCAGGAAGTGAGATGGGAAGGGGCACTGAAGGGTAAGGAGGGGGGAGGGGGAGGGAGGGGAGGGGAGAGTTTGGAGGCTATTTATTTTTTTTCTTTTTAGGCAGTTGGGGTTAAATGACTTGGCTAGGGTCACACAGCTAGTAAGTGGTCTGAGGTCAGATTTGAACTCAGGTACTCCTGACTTCAGGGCCGGTGCTCTATCCAGTGCACCACCTAGCTGCCCCTGTGGAGGGCATTTATTAAAGGAAGTCAATGTTCTATCAAATATTCCAGAAAAGCAAGAAATGAGTTTTATAACTTTAAAGAAAAAAAATTAAGTTACTACACTAGAAATCTGTTTTAAAGGGTAATGTTAATAAATGATCAAAAAAACAAAATAAATGCCTTTCAGCTTCCTCTGCCTTTTGATCTGTTGGGGGTAGGTGGGGTGTGGTGGTCATTTCGATAGCACTTTAAATCACATATCTCCTTTATAACATTTTTTAAAAAAACAAAACCCCTTTACAATCCTGATGCTTTTTTCATTGTCTTAAGGGCTTCTGATAGTGAAATTTTTTCCCCCAGGGAAATTTCCTATTTGTACTGAGATGTGAAGGACAAATATAATATGCCTGTGGCCTGGGAAATCACAAAGAAAATCAAAGAAGTTGTATTCTTGACACCCTTCACCCCTTATATCTATATCTATCCTATGTGGGTCATCACAAGCTTTTTCTACGCTCACAATAGTGTGTGTGTGTGTGTGTGCGCAAGTGTGTGCATGTGTGTGAAACATTATTTACTATAATCATGTAGACCGTTATAAATGTCGCAACCCAGATGTGCCATAAATCTGCCTCCAAAACTGGTACCATGAACCCTCTGACCTCTGCCCAGGATACTGTTTTCCAACCCCAGCCCCTCTTACCAGGTTCTGTTTTAGCTCTTCTGCTTCCTTGATCATCTCCAGGACTATGGTATCATCAGAATCACCCCCCTTCCCTGTCATGATCTGCCTCATGATCTGTAGACTATAAGATAGGGAGAAGGCATCAAGTATAAAGCATTCTCAGCACAAAAAAGAAAACTTAATTACTGGGTCCTGAGAATTCTCCTGCAAAAGGAGTGGTATCAAAGCTAGAATATTAGTAGAATTTTGGAATACCTCTGGAAATAATCAGTTCTCCATAATTAATGAGATTTCTGCCCCAGTTCATATATTCACTCCCAGGAAGTTCCCACCTGTTCATCTCCTTGAGTCTGCTTGTTCTTTCTTGATTAGATCTGTGGTTTCATCAGTGTGAGAAACACCTGTTTTGAAATTCCCACCACAGATGCAGATTGGCAATTTAGAGCAAGAGTTCCTAACCATTTTGTGCATATCATGGATCCCCTTAGCAGTCTGGTGAAGACTATGGACTCTTTCTTAAAATAAGTTCCTAAGTGCATGAAATGCATAGGATTAAAAATGAAACCAATTAGGCTGAAATTATAATGTAATTTTTTTGCCCATCTAAGTTCTAAGACCCCTTGAAATCTAACTCTTGTCTTAGAATGTTGCCTGCGTTCTCTGACCGTTGCCGCGCGCGCGCGCGCTCACTCTCTACCTCCTCTCCCGCAGCTGGGGGGGGGGAGGGAAGGAGGCGGCACTGAGAGGTTAAATAAGTGCCCTTTTCTTTTCTTTTTTTTTTGGCAATTGGGGTTAGGTGACTTGCCCAAGGTCACACAGCTAGTAAGTGTCAAGTGTTTGGTCTGAGGCCTGATTTGAACTCAGGTCCTCCTGACTTCAGGGCTGGTGCTCTATCCACTGCACCACCTAGCTGCCCCAATAAGTGCCCTTTATCATATAGTTAGTCTGTGTCAGGAAACTAGACTGACTTACTTTCTTCTTTTGGAGGCAATCAAGGTTAAGTGACCTGCCCAGCTACTAAATGTCTGAGGTCACATTTGAACTTAGGTCATCCTTACTCCAGCACCCTTACTCTGTCCACTGTGTCACCCTGCTGCCCCTCAGAAACTAAACTTGAAACCTGGTCTTTCTGACTCCCAATTGCTGGTCCTCTATCCACAATGCCATGATCTCTCTCAGATTTCTCCTCAGTATGAAAGATAAATGAGACTGCCAGCTTGTCACACTATCCAGAAGAGACAACGTTCTCATAGGCATATTAGCTGCATTCTAGGGTCCATGACTATGCTTGCCTTAAAGTGAAAAGTATCTGTGCCCCTGGAAAAGGGCAGCTAGGTGATTCACTGGGCCTGGAGTCAGGAAAACCTGAGTTCAGATTTGGCCTCAGACATTCACTAGTTGTGTGACCCTGGGCAATTCACTTAACCTCTGTCTTAACCTACTGGAAAAGGAAATAGAAAACCACTCCAATATCTTTGCCAAGAAAACCCCATAGAGGGTCACAAAGAGTCAGATATGAATGAACGACAAAAAAGGTTAGGGACAAATAGGCTTTTGAAAAGGAATTTTCTCCTTTCCTACTTTAGACCTTTCTTTTGAAAGGATTCAGCCTGAGAATACCTGCTTAGATCACTTAGGATATCTCTGGCTATCATAAGGACAGGAAAGTGTCCCTCATCTCAACTTCTTTTTCATAAAGTTATGCCAGAGTGCCAAGGAATTCTTCTGTAACTTTATGCCAGCTCTCAGAAAATAACGGATCTGTTGATAACTTTTTGATCTGACTGAAAGAAGCACCAAAACCTCTTTATCCATGCCTGGGCTATTTTGTTTGTGACAATGTTGTTATCCACACTTCCTCTTTAAAAAGAACACTCCCCACCTTGTGATTTTAAAGATTCTCCAGCTTTCCTACTTATGTGACCCTCAGGTAGTTTTTTGTTTGTTTGTTTGTTTACCTTTTTTGTTTTTCCTCTAAATTAGTCATTAAGTTCTGGAGTAAAGTGCCATTCTTCTCTTCCAGGGGTTTTAGCATCTCCACCAACTCTCGTTTTCTTATTTTCAGGTCCTCATTTAATTCTTTTAGGTAATTGTTCTGCTTTCTAGAATTTCTGCAGAAGATATCATTAATATTGGTCTTTTACTTGGGAAAAGATAGAGATAACCTCTCTGCCCACCTCCCCCTTTTGCCTAACAATAATTCCCACCAAAGAGTCACCTTATTCTAGAATTTAGGTAAGATGTGGAAGGGTTTGTGCCACTGGTCATCTTAAAAGTGTAGTTCCATTCACCCCTGGAAACAAAAAGGGCTTCTTCAAAATCTGTTCCTCTTTTCTCTGCTAGTTAATACATCTTCTCTTTAATGGTGTTGCTCTTTGCCACTTGCTGTCCTGGACTTGATAGTTATATGGCTTGAGGTCACAATGCACTGAAGGCAACAATGCCAACAATTCTGTTTAGGAGCTTTAGAGTTACTTGCAGCCTGTTCCCTGGAGATGTCCCACATACATTTGATCAGTCCTTTCTCTAAATAGGTATCTTAGGATCAAATAAATATCCAAAAATTTCTATCCCCTCCCTACAAATCCTTAGAGTATCTTCAGACATCTTTGGTTATGGACTATTTTAAAATAAAGCATTTTGACTCCAGTTATAATGTAAGCTACGGAATTCCTATTCTTATTGCTGCTGAAAGTAACTCCCTCCTTTCCTTTCTTCTTCTCTTCCTCCTTTCTTCCCTTCCTTCCTCGCTTCCTTCCTTCCTTTCTTTCATCTTCCCTTCCCTTCCCTTCCTCCCTCTCTCTGTATCTTTTTTCTTCCCTTCCCCTTCTTTCACTTCTGTTTCCTTCCCTTTCACTCCCTTTCTCCCTTCTTCCCTCCCTTTCTTCCCCCTTTCTCCCTTTTCCCTTCCTCCCTCCTTTCCTTCCTCCCTCCCTTCCTTTCTTCCTGGACAATTTGCTCAACTTGTCCCCACATTTTCCAACAAACTCTAAGACAAGTAATGAATATATTATGCTGCTTTAGCTGATGCCACCAAATTCTGCTTAATGAGTTGATTGATGGATGCTATTATTGAATGATGAAATAGCATATACACTTGATATTATATAGATATCATGTAGAAGTGATAAAGCCCCCACCTTTCCTGAAGCTGAAATTCTATGGCAATGGGATAGAAATATACATTTTCTTGTCTTTCCATATTTGGTTTTTGTCTGGGTACCTCAACAGAAAAATGGTTTGCTTAAATAGTTGCTGTCTATTAGGTCCTCCAATGGGTATCTTCTGTCTCATCTGTTAACCTGAGCAGGTTACCTGATATGATGGGATTTAAGGAAACTTAGGGATCCCATCTGATGACAGTACCCTATGCCCATTAGCTACACACAGCTAATGCTTAAAATTAATGTGTTCTAATTCACCCTTGAGGCTTTCAATAAAAAAGAGTGCTTTCCACTCAGTGCCTGGAAGGCATCAAGAAACAAATGCATTATTCAACTGAGTCATACCTCCTAAACACTGCAGGATAGAAATAGAAGTGGGAATACTAACCCACTTCAGCAACTGGAAGAAGAAACATTTACCTTGTATCTATTCTGGGGAAATGTACTTGTTACTATATAATAGGAAACTGGAAACAGTGTCGGCTAGAAGACAGAAAATCCTGCGGGGAGTGGCCCTGACCCTGTAATGGAATGGAGCCAGACTGTGACTGACAGATTATGACTCCCATTTTTAAGGGAAGGGAAAGGAAGAGAAGGAATCACAGGAGAAGAGCAGCTTTAGACAAAACCATACCTACAGGGAAGAACAAGGGAACAGCATAAGAATTAGTAACTCAATCCAAATTAAGGATGGGTGAGAGAGAGAGAGAGAGAGAGAGAGAGAGAGAGAGAGAGAGAGAGAGAGAGAGAGATTAGTCCTCCTCACCAGCACACCACACAATACTACACCACAATCCCTACTCACAATGAACTTAATTCTAATGGGGAATTAAATACATGTAGAAAAAATCTATACATCATAAATATAAGGATAATTAACACACATATGTATACACACATAGACAAAGTAAGTACAAGGGACTAAGGGAGGGATGGCACTAGGTATTGGGGAGGGGAGAGGGGTCAGGAAAAGCTTCATGCAAAAGAATGCGCATGAGCTGAGCAACATTTTAAAGGAAGAATAGAACTCTGTGAGGCAGAGGTAGGAAGGGGTTCATTCCAGGTATAGGGGCATGGCCAGTGCAAATGCATTGGAGATGGGAGATGAAATGCAGTGAGTAAGGTACAGAGAGAAGACCTATTTGCCTGGGTTTTAGAGTGCAGGAAGGAGAATAATGTCTAATGAGATTGGAAAGAGAAGTTTGGGGCCAGGTTTATAGGGAGTTTGTAGTTTATCCTAGTAGAAGTAGTAGGAAGGCACAGGAATTAGTTAAGTAGGGGAGTCATAGTCAGATTTTCGCTTAAGGAAAGCTACTTTAACAGCAGTGTGTAGGATGTACTAGAGTTGTGAGAAATGTGAGGAAAGGAGAGCAGTTAGGAGAATGTGGCAATGATGTAGGCAAGAAGTGATGAGGACTGAATAAAGGTTGTAGCTGTGTGATTGGAGAGAAGAAATCAGATGCAAGAGATGTTATGAAGGTAAAAATGACAATACTTGGCAAATTAATTGATATGCAGTATGAGGGAGAGTGAGGAGTTGAGTGCCAAGATTATGACCTTAAGACACTGGAAGGATGGTGGTACCTTTGATAGAAATAAGAGAATTTGAAAAAAGAGAAGGTTTATAGGAGAAAGATAGTGAGCTTAGTTTTAAACATGTTGAGTTGAAGATTTCTCCATTTATGAACTATCTAATCAATAATTCTTAATTGTTTCCTAGTTTTCCCATTGTTAATTATTTCCTAACTAGCCTACATATAGCTTGCTTTGTATATATTTGTTTGCATGTTGCCTCCTCTATGAGATTGTAAACTCTTTGAGGTCAGAGATTGTCTTTTGCCTCTTTTTGTATCCTCAGCAGTTAGCATAGTGCTTGGTACATAGTAGTAGGCACTTAATAAATGTTTATTGATTGATTGGTTTTGATGATACAGAGCTGATATTCATGGGAGAGATTGGGCTTGGACGTATAAATGGGAGTTACCTACACAAAGACGATAGTTGAACCTAGAGGAGCTGATGAGATTACCAAGAGAGAAAGTGTAGAAAAAGAAGAGACTCTTAGAGAATACCCAGATGACAAACCAGTTTAGGAGACTAAGAAGGAATAGTCATGTGGTAAGTCAGCTAGGAGAGAGGAGGATCATGAAAACCCTGAGAGGAAAGAATGTCCCAAGAAGAGAAGGTAGTCAATAGTATCAGATGCAACAGATAGGTTGAAAAAGACTAGGCCTAAGAAAAGACCATCAGATGTGGCTATTCTCTGATAACTTAGGAGAGAGTGATTGATGAAAGCTTGATTTGAAAGAGTTGAGGAGTGAGGAAATGGAGAGGAAATAGAAGCAATGTGTCTAGTAGTAGAGCATAAAAGGGTTTAGCCACAATAGTGCGTCCTGTAGTTCTGTAGTACTGTTGTGCTCTGGGCCATACAGTGGGTAGAGCACCAGGCCTGGAGTCATGAAGACTCATCTACATGAGTTCAAATCTGGCCTCAGACACTCACTAGCTATGCAACCCTGGACAAGTCACTGAACCTTGTTTGCCTCAGTTTCCTCATCTGTAAGATGAGCTGGAGAAGGAAATGGCAAACCACTCCAATATCTTTGCCAAGAAAATCCAAATGGGGTCATGAACAGTGAGACATGACTGAAAATGACTCAACTACCACAAAAATGTGTCCTGGGATCCATTGTCTACAATAGTGAAACCTAAAAAAAAGGTCCTGGATTGCTTTTTGGCCTGAGATTGAGGAGGGTTTGGGTGGCCAGTTGCCTGCCTGGGGTAAGTTGGAATCCATCTCTGTTTAAAATATATCCCATGTGTATATCCTCAGGTTTATACAATTGCAGTTTTTCATTAGAAACTTTATTATCTTTAAAAGAAAGTTGATTAAGAAAATGCACAGAAATGTGTCAAGAGACCTCAAAAGATGATGAACAGAATAACATACTATTTACATACTGAATCAGAATAAAACCACCAGGGAACTTACCTTTTGCCAAACCTCTAACCAAAATTTGAGAAAAAAGAAGCTAGGAATTCATAATAACAATGGAAGCACTATTTAGGTATGCTCTTTTCTATTCCAAGTAGAAGCAAGAAGGTATTGGCTGTCAGGGTTCACTAGCATGCTGAAGAAAACTGAGCCAAGATATATTAAATTCAAAGATCTATAAAATCCAATATCAGGTGGAATTGCCATTAAAACTGTACTGGAATCGTAAATTCGTGGGAGTTGATGAGATCACTAAAAGAACTGTAAGGAGAGAACAGGCCCAGGATGTCCACAGTTAAGGGATATGGTATGGATGATGGCCAAATAAAGGAAATTGAGAAGGAGTGGTCAGACAGGTTCAAGAAAAGCTGGAGAGTAGTGTCATGAAATCACAAACAGGAGACAGTGTCAGTAAAAGAGGAGTGTCAAATGCAGCAAAGATCAAATACAATTCAGGACTGAAAAGTGACCATAAGATTTGTCAGAAGAGATCATTGGTTATTTCAGAGAGAACAGTTTAAACTGAGAGATGTAGCCAGGATCCAGACTGCAAAAGCTTTTGTGTAGAATGAGAAAAGGGAATAAACAATCAGTGAGTAGAAAATATTTTATAGGCATTTGGGCTAGAAAAGGAGGAGAGATATAGGATGGAATAACTTGAGATTCTTATATCTAGTGAAGGTTGGAAGGGATGGGAGTATGTTTGAAGGTAGGGAGGAAAGAACTACTAGATAGTGAGAGGTTGAAGACTAGATGAACAATTGAGTGAGCAATCTGCTGGAGAAAATGGGAGAGGAAGGCATCAAGGTCATATTTATCAAATAACAGTAGTGGTGATAGATATCCTCGCTTTGTGACTATTATTATTAGAAAGACCTGTAGCTTTTTTCCATTACAGATAATGTTAAGTCTTAGTCTTACAGAGATACGACTTAGCTTATTAAGGAACAGACCATGTATCCCTAAGCTTTTTAATGTTTTTAGCATAATTGTGTGTTTATTAAAAGTTTTAGTTTTTCTTTTGCACAGAGGCAACTCTGGTGGCAGCTGGACAGAACACTGGGCCTGGAGTCAGGAAGGCCAGAATTCAGATCTTGCTTCAGAGACTGACTGCCTATATGACCCTGGGCAAGTCACTTAACTTTTGTCTACCTTTGTGTCCTCAGTTGTAAAATGGAGATAATAATAGCACCTGCCTTTTTCAGATAAGACTTGTAAAAGACACTTGACATGGTGCCTGGCACATAGTACA